TGTGGGGCTCGATCCCAGGACCCTGAGATCATGACCTGAGCCGAAAGCAGAGGCTTAACCCACTGAGCCACCTAGGCGCCCCTGACGTATAAATCTTGAGTTACAGAAATCTGAGTCTGAGATACAGATTAGAGAATTTTAAGCTTATGGATGGTAGACAAAGTCATGGTTATGGGCAAAATCATCTAGGCTTTGTACAGAAAGTGAAAAAAGAAGCAGAAGAAGGGTGGAACCAATATTTAAGGGTTATGGAGAAAGGGAAGCCCTCAAAAGAAATTGAGCAATTGTGATAATTGAGTTCTGAGGCTGTTTTGCTTAACGTTCTGTGGCCTTTGTGTTCCAGAGAGAACACAGGGTAAAAGATAAAAGATTTATGGGGTGTCTGGCTTGCTCAGTAGGTAGTGCATGTGATTCTCAATCATAGGGTGGTGAGTTCAAGCCCCATGTTGGGCCTAGAGATGACTTTTTAAAAAAAAAAAAAAATATATATATATATATATATATATGATTTATCACTCCTGCAAATGTGAGCTGCATGTGTCCTTATAAACAAGATGGAAGGAACTAACAAGGTTATATTGTCCTCCCTTTATAGATAAGGACATTTGCATTTCAGACACTTTAACTTACCCAGAGTCAGTAACTGGAAGAGCAGGGCTTTCAATTGAGTGAGTGATTTGAGAATCAGGCAGACATACTTTCCCATTTATACATGATCCTTTTAGAGATGTTTGAGCTGAGCCTGAAGGATTGGATAGATTTGAACAGGTGGTAATGGAAATAGGATATTAGGGAATAGGATAAGAGGAGAGCTAGGGAAAGCACAGGCTGACACGAAGTGCAGAAACTGGTTAGTTTAGCTAAATCATGAGGTATAAGAAAGATGTGGTGCTTAAAGCAAGCTGAATCTTTGCATGACAAAGAATTTGGAACTTTTTAATGTAAGCGGTGAGGGAGTCACAGGAGGATGTATGGTATACTGTTGTTATTTTTCTGTTACATAAAATAAGGCGTGTTCTTTGTGGAAATGTAGAAAGCACAGGAAAAAGTACAAAATAAGAAATAAATTGCCCATGATCCTCGTATCCAAACATAACTACTATTACCATTTTGGAATATGTCCTTTGATACACTCCAAAGGAGGTTTCTCCCCCTCCTTTATGTTTTTTGTTTGTTTTAGATTTTTATTTATTTATTTGAAAGAGAGAGATCACAAGTAGGCACAGAGGCAGGCGGGGGGGGGGGGGGGGGGGGGGGGGGAGCAGGCTCTCCGCTGAGCAGAGAGCCGGTTCAGGGCTGGATCCCAGGACCCTGAGACCATGACCTGAGCCGAAAGGCAAAGGTTTAACCCACTGAGTCCCCCAGGCGCGCCTGTCTTCATGGTTACTGGTGAAGAAACAGATTTGAAAAAGAGATAACTTGCTCATGGTTAGATTGTGAACCCATTTCTGACAGACTTCAGGGCTCCTTCTTCTAACATTTAAGTATGGGTCTAGAATTTCTGAGAAGGCCTGGGTTTGCAGGCGGTAGAATAAAGGCAATTGTTGAAGCCATAGAAGTAGCTAAGATACCAGTTGAAATGGTCTAGGGCATAAAGAAAGTACTATGAAAAGAATCTTAGATCCTGTCTCCATGGTGGGGATGAGAGGAAGAACTTCAGAAAGAGGAAGGGAGTGTTTTGTTTTGTTTTGTTTTTGTTTTTTTGAAGATTTTATTTATTTATCAGAGAGAGAGTGTGTGCACACAACAGGCAGAATGGCAGGCAAAGGCACAGAGAGAAGCAGGCAACCTGCCGAGCTAGGAGCCGGATACGGGACTCTATCCCAGAAGCCTGGGATCACGACCTGAGCTGAAGGCAGTAGCTCAACCAGCTGAGCCACCCAGGCATCCCAGGAAGGAGTATTAAGAGAGGTAGGAGATCCAAAGAACCGAAGGGCCCTGGAAGCTAAAAGAGAGAAGAGGGGGCGCCTGGGTGGCTCAATGGGTTAAAGCCTCTGCCTTCGGCTCAGGTCATGATCCCAGGGTTCCTGGGATCAAGCCCCACATTGGGCTCTCTGCTCAGCAGGGAGCCTGCTTCTTCCTCTCTCTCTGCCTCCCTCTCTGCCTACTTGTGATCTCTGTCTGATAAATAAATAAAATCTTTTAAATAAATACATAAATAAATAAATAAAAGAGAGACGAGAACCTTCCTTGTATTGTGCACTGGACATGTTCCCTCAGTTTAGTTCTCCTTGTTATCCTGAGGCAGTGGTT